TGGGGAAGGGGAAGGGGAAGGATGGTGAAGAGGAGAGGGGAATTAGAGAAAGTGGAGGGAGAAGATTGTGAAAAATGACTGGGGGAAAAATGGGGATGGGAGAAGGGAATGAATTGGTGGATCATGAAGGAAGACGTCCATTCCTACCAGCAAATCATCATCATTATTATTTGTGATCATTCATCATCATTATCATTATTATTATTATCATCATCATCATCAATGACAATAGAGAATAATAATAATAACAACCATGGTCAGCTACCAGCAAGAAAGAAAAGCCATCCAGACAGGCAATTTTCATACTACCCAATCTTTTTGATCTCCTCCCCCTCCCCTCCTCCTCCTCCCTCACTTCCTCCTCCTCCCCATCCTTCTCCTCCTTCTCCTCCTGTTCATCCTTTTCCTCTTCCTTCATTAACTCCACGTCGATCTATCGTCGTTGCTATTTGATCCAAGTAAGCCCACCTCCTCCTCCTCCTCCTCTCCCTCATTTCCTGTCATTCATTTCTCTCTCCGCCTATTTATCTCAGAATTTCTTTCTTTTACTACAAAATCTACCATTTCATTGATCAAACTTTCCACAATATGGTGTTTTAATTGCATGCATTATTACTATCTTTTTATCAGTTCTTTTATTTTCTTAAAATTTTTTTTCTCAACAAAAATATTTCTTTCTTTAAACTAGCTGTAGTATTTTCATATCGTCTTAAATGCTTTTTTTGGTTATGAAAAAAAGGAGAGATTACGGTACCGTTATAATCGCTCGTCAAAAGACTACCATAACTTGTTCGAATTTTTCGAAAAATTTTCAATTTCTTGATGAAAAAAATTATTTAAGAAAAAGCGAACGATATGATAAGTTTAGAGTATAATCTTAGTTTGTGCTAATAATAATAATTTTTGGTCAAACAATACAGTTTGTTGATTTAGTCATCTTTTGAAATTATATCGTCATACTAAATCATATAAATCAATAAGTTCAATTTTGCTAATAAAAATTTTTCTTTTCTTTCTCTTTTTAATATGACAAAAGAAATTCTAGCTTTTTTCAAAAATTTATAAACGCACAAACAGTACAGCAGCTGAGAAATCTGTACAGCAAGAAAAGAATGGCATTAAACTGTAAAAAATATAAATTTGCTTAGAAGCTAAAAAGGATTTCTTTTTTAAGTAAAGTAAGTAAAGTAAGTTTTGTCATGATTATTAATAAGCAGCAAAACTAAGTTTGTACTTCTTTTTTCCAATATTTCGGCAAGATCAAAAGTTTAGTTGGAAAAAGTTTCAAAGAAAAAAATGATGTTGATAAAGTCTACAGCTTTACAAATACTCAAATATTTAAAAGTTTATTATGGGATAGATTTAAACATTTAACAGTATAAGAATTTTCATTAGCTCAAATTTGTTTAAAGATGGTTTAATTTCAGATTTGCGTGAGATTTAACTCCAAAATTGGAGTTAAAGTTTGAGTTATTGTAATCGATAGTTCCAAATTGTATCATTAAATCACTAAGAAACCATTGAAGTGCTATTAAATCATATCAAATTTAAATAAAATAGTGCAATAATTCAAAAATTAAATTTACGGCTAAAATATATTTGAGTGACATTCCTGAAATTGAGTCGAACATAACAACTAAACCCTAAAAAATTTAGCACTAAATATTATTACTTTCAATAGAAACTACCTAATATTTAAATTAATTTTAATAGAAACTACTTAATATTTAATTAATTTCAAATGTTTCCTTGAAGAGATATAATTTTCTTTCGATCTTCGTGATTTTATATTATTATTTATCATGTGTCTCCTATCCATTAGTGCTGCTCAATTTTTATGCAGGAAAATTATATGCCAAGAAAAAACACCTTTATTTGTAATAATATTAATTTATGCAAATTTGTAATAACATTAGTGTTTATAAAATATTCGATATTTTGAAATTATCTCAGAAATGTGGCTCCGTTTTTTCAAAAAAAAGATTTAAATGATCGATTTCTAAAATATTTCTATACGACAAATGAAATTGAAACTAACTTGAAAATATTTAATTGCATTAAAAAACCATTTTCCTCCAGTTAATATCATTGTCATTTAAAATGCACTTCATATTTTCTTGTCCTTTAATCATTTCTTTTTTTTCGCATTAATTATTAATCGTTGAATTGAAAATAAAATTTTTTCAAATTGCATTCTATTTTAATATGACTTTAATTTTAATTTTAATTTTAAATGTTTAAAAATTTTGATTACATTTTATTCAATACAATTATTCACATCATATCATCTTCATTTCATCACTTGTTTCCTTTCTTCTTCTTTCTGTTTTCTTATTTTTTCTAGTTAATACAAACACTAATTAAGCAATAATTATTTCACCATGAACACTCATTCTCATAATCTATCAACAAATGCTATAAATATAAAAGGAATTGAAATTGAATTTGTAAGAAACAAAATGAAATAGTTAAAAAAGTTAGCGGAAACGAAGAGAATTAAGAAGCCCAAAAAAAATGAAATAAGGACTAATGAAAACGAAAAGAAGGAGCAAGAAAAGAAGGAAAAAAGAAAGAAAAAGAGAGAAGGAGAGAGAAAGAGAGATGATGATGATGATGATTAAATGCTATTGTATTGAAATTTTTAGTAAAGTATCCATTTCCAAATACACTTCTCTCTCTCAATCTTTCACTTCTGGATGGATTATGATACACTTCAAAAATCATTCCTTCCAACTAACCCAATCCTCATCCACTACTTTTATGTCTTTTCAATTTTTGTCAACTACATATGTCACCATATATCCTGGCATTTTCTTCCCATCTATTTCGCTCTACCTGTTTCGTTTGTACAGGTGGCCCTATTTGTATTATAGATGTATGTCTGTGTGTGTGTGTATGGTGTGTATGGTGTGTGTGGTGTGTGTGTGTGGTGTATGTGTGGTGTATGTGTGGTGTATGTGTGGTGTGTATGTCTGCTTTCTGTCTCATTTTCTTTCGCAACATATTTATGTTTGTATCGATGACACCATTTCATGGATGATATGCAAATTAAGGTAGATTAGTTCAGATTATTAAGTGCCTCAGAAGAGTGAATAGTGATGTATTACGTATGTATATGAATCTATGAGTATGTCTGTATTATTGAGATTTTATGTTTAAGAATTAATCAAAGAAGATGACAACAATTGTGATTATCAGCAATAATAATTAAAAATATTATGAGATTATAATATAATTGAGTTTGTAGCTACAAACCAATAATAATTAAAATTTAAAATTATTTGATAAATGTTATACGTCTTTTTTAATCTCTAATGTTAATAAAAGTTGTATTTTCATTGTGATAGTTTTGCTTGCTACATTTCTATTGCAATAATTATGCAAAATTTTGTTTTGTAATTTAATTTAAGAAATAGTGTAGAAAAA